CAAATCTATGGTGGGGTTAAACCTCATATGAGGTGAACTCACTCTGAGGTACATCTCAGGAAAAGGCGTCAAGACCAATCAGAGAGCACCGAAATTCCTGATCATTTAATTTAATTGAACAAGTAGAACTAGAGCTCTCATATTTCACACTTGAATTCCTTGTGACAAGACCTTCCTTCGGGTACATACAAGTTTGACCTTGACCTTTGAGTTAAACTTGCATTTGAGAGACTTAAAGCTTCACCATAAGCTGCCATACGGGGACATTATAAATTTTATATCAATCTGTTGAAAGTATTACTAGTATGAAGAATTATAGCCCTGTAATCATATTTCCTTGGTGTATCTCTCTGTTTGTCTGTCTGCAAAAACTTGAACCTTGCCCGTAACTTTTGAATGGGTGGGGTTATAGCTTTCATATTTCCTAGGTGTATTTCTTGTGACAAGACCTTTTTTCGGGTACCTACAAATTTGACCTCTTGACCTTGGAGTTTAACGCACCTTTGCGAAAAAAATATCAAACCTTAATCTTGGCCATACCTTTTGAACAGATACTTCTAGGGCTTTCCTACTTTGCATGGGTAATCAATGTGACAAGACCTTTCAATGGGTATAAATATTTTTTTTACCTTTTAACCTTAGCGTTTGACCAACTTTTTAAAACTTAAAACTTGGCCATAACTTTTTAACAGTTACAACTAAGACTTTCATATTTTGTGATGATCAGACCTTTCTCTGGATACAACAAGTTTGACCTTTTGACCTTGACCTTGAATTTTGACTTGCATTTGAAAAACTTCAAACTTTTTCATAAGCTGCCATAAGGAGGTATCAGTGTTTCACAAACACATTATTTATTTTATAAAATGATGGCATTTGTTATAAAGTTTGAACGAATTCCTTGATATGTTATAATGAATTCAGTTTTAAAGCATTTTTTTTTATTTGTTATAACGATTTCATTCTACCAAACAAAACTGACATTCGGTATATATAATATATAGATAGGTCCTCATCCAACAAATTGTTGAACGAATTAACGAAAAAACTTTTTGAAGATATTTGTATGAAAAACGAAGCATTAACGAAAAATATGAGTACAGCAAAGTTTGGAAAACTCAGCTGCACTGTAAAACAGGAGTATCGTTTTAAAAAAACAAAACAAAGGTCCTATTTACAGTATCTACACAACAGACAATGAAAGAATTAAAATATTACTCATAATTTCTTTTTAGATACAAAATAGTTTTGAATTTTAAACAATATAAAAACTAATATTTAGAAAAAATAAACGTATTCAACTCAAAATCAATCCCCGCGAATTTGCTGTATTTTTTATTAACCCATTTAAGGTAGGATTCTTCTCTGGTTTCTGACTAGATGAAACATTCAAAGTATATTTCCTTATACGTCTTATATATTGAGGTGTAAGGAAATTAAAAGACCATATTTTTCTTTCCTCATCACAATTATACAACTTTAAATAGAAATGTTAAACTGTGTTTGAAAACTAGCAGGGACTATATTTTTGGCGGAATGGTGGCGTATGAAAATATCTTCTTTTCTGACTTTCAAAATTATAATAGAACAATGAATTTAGTTATAATTTTTACACAATCGAAGACTTGGAGAAATTTTCAAATGTAAGTTTAAGTAATAATGAGGGACTAAACTTTCAAAATATATCAAATAAATATGATTTTTCAAACAAACTAGAACTTTATTAGCTTTTTAACACTTCCTATCAAAGTGCAGATTTGAGCCAAAAATCCATAAAAAGTATTTTTTCTGTCTTAGTAAACGATCAAAATTTTTTGTTTTTGTATCATTTTGTATATTTATAAGACTAATTTATTATATGTGAAAATAAGAAAAAGTTAAATATAGGAAACATATGAAAATAACTAATATATCCTAAAAATTAAGAAAAACAGAGAAAATTCGGATTAGCCAATATCCAGTTAAGTTAAATTATATATGTAAATTTGGTAATATCGTTCTATAGACCCGATATAGTAATATGTTTTTCTGCAAAAAGAACTGTCATTTAACTTTTGAAATAGAAGTAGGTATCACATGATTGGCAACAGTTTTTTTTTTATTATTAATGTCAAGGAAAAAGATAATGACCTTGACCTGACCTTGCCTCTAATATAACACGGTCAAATTTAATTTCACTGATACTATCACTTACTGATATTGTCTTCTTGATTCTGTGAAAATTTCATTAATTTTTAAATATTAGAAATACGAGAAGAATCCTACCTTAATCAAAATTAATGGGTTTTTTCATTAGCAGTTGCAATTCGTAAGCATGCAATTGACGCCCACTTTTCGGAAAAGAAGTAATAGCTATATTTATATTTATACATTCCTGATCTCGGCATTGCTTTCCTTGCTGCGGTTTCACGAAATGGATTTTCCAAAATTTGTTTTGATGTGTTTTATCGTCATGACACTTGATTATTATGGTAGCTGTATTGTTATTTTTTAAAACACTGAATTTCTTGTATCAACTTTTAAACATGAATTATTTGTAACAATCATTTGTTACAATAAACGATGTGTATATATTATGGATGTTATATTAGCATAATTAAGTTTGTAAATGTTGTCATAAATTATTAAATTTTCACACCATATTTTAATATTCAAGTTCAATAAAAATATTTTAGGCACTCCTCTGCAGTTGGCAGTAGTTTTGTTGTTCCGTCTTGTGTATTCCGAGAGACGTTTCCTCATTAACTTAGTTCAATGGTTCAATATATCTTAAATACACAAGTTACAATTATTTACACTATTAGTCAGTACATATTCACGGAGATAGTTTTGACTTTAGAGAGGTTTAGTCTCGCTGTTTGTCTTTCTCAGTTCAGCAAGGTTGTGCTCGTTTTTGTTGATTTTACGACACTCTAGAAATTAGGAGTTAATTCCTTCAGTTTAAACAAGACTCTCAAGAAAAAAACCCTCCGTTTTATCTCAATAACCCCTGCCTATTAAATATTACATACATCATGTGCTTATATTAATCCTTGAACAAACAAATAATGAGTGACACTTTACACCAAACTGTGTATGATTTTAATATCACAGTGTTGGGATTTTTAATAAATTTTATCGGTAATTACATATTTCTAACCAATTTGCAGATTTCATTTTCAAATTTAATTATTCATTATTGTTTATTTAAATTATTCACCATTCCTCTGTTTAAATCGAGGCAATATAAAACTAATTTGTGTAAGTTGCACTTTTCACCTAAAAAGTGATAAAATTATGCATATACTTTTTTCATGTGTATAATCTTATCCCTGTTCCTTAAGTATAATGTTATTATTTTCAAAAAGGATAAACCAAACATGCACCGTTTTAGACTATCGTCTCATTGCAAAATTGCTGACGGCTAAAAAACTAATTCAACCGTTAAACTGCAAAAGGTTATCGTTTCTATCTGTACGAACAGTATCAAAACGCTGAACGAATCGTGCAGAACTTCCGTTGTCAGGGACGCTCCCTATCAACAAACCAACGTCAATATGACGAACAGCTATCCAAGATTTTCTGTGAAGCAATGTTCACTCAAGTGTAATCATTTACCACATCAGTGCTTGATTTTGCAATAAAATAACTCTATGTGTAAACTGCGATCTATAGCCATTTACAAATGTCTGACTGGCGATTCTTCGGCTAATGAAATATTGATAGATCAGTTTTTATTAGGTATAAAATTCCATGCTATAATTTTGAGTCGGGTATACTTATCTAGTACTTCATAAATGCTTCATTCCTTTCATTCAAATGAACAAGATTAATCAACAATAAAGGGAAAGGTTAATTTTTAAAGTCTTAATTTTTGGTGTGTTTGAGATTTTAAAAAAAATTATAAAGAAAAAAAATAAAGCCCAAATTATTCATAGAACTGAATCACCTTGGCCTTGCTGGCCATATTCTTTTGAAGAAATGAAAATTTCATATGCCTACATAATCGAAAATTGAGGGGCATATACATGTACATGTAGTTTTCGTTCTGTCCATCTCTCTGTATGCCTACATCTTTTGATTGCTTGGAGCTAGGGCTTTCAACTACATGTATGAAGTACATGTATTTCTTGTGACGAATCCTTTCTTGGGGTATCAACACTTTTGCCCTTGGAGACTGACCCACTTTAATTTGCAGAATTTTAACTAAACTTGAACCTTGGCAATAACTTTTGATATGTTGATATTAGGGTTTTCATACTTTGCCTGTGTGTTACTTGTGATAAATCCTTCCCTTGAGTAGTAATGTTATTGCGTTTGTAACCTTGACCTTGGAGTCTGGCTACTTTAACCTTGGCCATAACATTTGATTAAGGCTTTCATATTCAAACGTGGTTTCCTTGACATGCAAGTATTTTTTATGTACCAGTATTTTTGACCTCTATTTCTTGACCTTGAGAGATGAAGTACTTTTTAAAATTTTTACCTTGGCCAAAGTTTTGCTGCAAGGGCTTTCAAATTTCACTTGTATATCTCCTTGTTCTAAGACCTTCCCATGGGTACCATTTTTGATCTTTTGACCTTGCATGACCCGGTAGTTTGACTGGCATTTGAGAAACTTAACCCTTGGCAATGGACTGACATCAGTGATTAACAAACACATCATATTTCTATATTTTTCATCTTCCCAAGTCAATGGTTTTTGATCCCCTCTGCTTCACATAAACCCTGACCACATAGGCAGAGTTTGACAAGGGTTAACATGGAGGGGATGAAAAACCCTAGACTTGGAAAGATATTTTTCTATATATAACTTTTGACCCCTACCTTAGCCCCTTTCTATATGAAATACATGTATATGCATTGGTTCTTGAGATGAAATGACTTCACAAATTTCTACATTTTCTTTCTTTGTCGTTTTACAGTATTTTCCCTCTTAGTTCAAATTACACTTAAAATTTATCAACATACTATTAAGCTGCATGAAAAATGTTCCCCAAAATTATAACAACAGAACACAATTTAATATTTCAAGTTTATTTTTCTTCATAAAAATAATAACAATAACATTATCACTTTTAAAGATACATTTCCAAAAAAAAAAAAAAAATACATTAAAAAAAAAAAACAAACAAAAAAGTACTTGTAGACAGAACAATCATACATCAGCCTCTGAAACCCTGTCATTACATTGCAAAATAAATGATTATTCTCATACAGTGTATCACTGATAATGGCGAAACACACAGGTTTGATATTGAAATATGCATTGTCACTAGTATGCAGATCAAGGGAACATATTCAAAATGATGCAACATTGCATTGACATGGCTGTCTACTTTGAATATCACAAAAATGGTTTTCTTATGACAAAGTCATGGGGAAAATCATTAATGTTGAAACAAATCTACAACTAGAAATGTTAGCAAAGAACATAAATTAAACAAAGCAAGTCTGAAGTAACTATGTAATTTTTTCCTGCATAACCACAGTACTTATTGTTAATTAATCTAGTAGAATTTTTTATTTCTTTATAATATTTTTAATAAAAATGCTTAAGAAATTTTTCCAAAGAAATAAAATGAGTTTACAATCAGGATGTGGAGCACACTAGACCGATTCTCAGTATTAAAACATGAAATATTAACAATAGTTTCATCTAAAGACAAAGGGTACAATAGATACATGTTTTAAAACCATATACAACAAATTTTAGACATTTACTAGCATCATTGCAGCAGACTTTCAAGTTTATAAGGAAGGTGAATCAAAAACTGGTTTTAATTCTTTTGCAGGAATGAAAGCAGTTGAAAGTTAATCAGTTTTGAAATATGATGGTTTAGTTACATATATAGACTAGACATTGCAAGGGCATATTCAAGTATTTATATGATTTGTACGGATAGGGGCACTATGAGTCCCTCCCCTCCTTTCCTCCCTAAAAAAAAATCTGAAATTGCTTCCTGGGCCTTAATTCATTTAGCATGGAGTCTCTCTCTCATCAGCATGTAAAGTGTATTCATTAAAAAAAATGCCATTTTAATTAATTCACCAACAATCAACTGCTACAACAAAAACAAAAATGTTGTCAAACATCAAAGAAAAGTACACAACACCAAAACAAAATGAACAATTGGATTTACAACACACACCAACTTCATTTGGCAGTGACCTTGTTGTCTTCAGCAGTATATGGACACCAATACCTACAACTCATCCTTCTAAACACCAAGCAAATCATGCTGAAAGGCTAGTATAACATTACTTTGAGACAAAACCATGATTGCATGATGCATCCACCATCATTTTTAAAATGAAGGGAAGTTCGCATCCCCCTTTTTTGAGTCACAGAGAGTATAATATGGTACAGAATGCAAGACATAAACGGTAACCTATTCTACAACCAACGAAAAATATATCTGAATTATATCACAAGGAAAACAATAAATAAAACTACATAATCCACTTAAAATAAGCAGTATTTCTAAACTTAAACATCCTTCAATACTTTCTACATTTAATATGTTTTGAAAGAATACTAATAAACACATAATTAACTCTTAATTATTAAGAAATATTATATCTTCCTATTTCTTTTGAAATTGAAATCTGAAATGTGGCAGAAAAGATTGAGACAATATTTACTGATTCATTCCCTTTGATGTTGATATTTAAAAATGGCAGAAAAGATTGAGTTTGGCTTATACTTAATTCTCAACATGTATGATTTTTTTTTGTAAATGCCATATTTGTTGTATGAAATTGTGAAGATTATAACACTACTTATAATGCACAGCATCATATTATTATCATTTCATTTCAAGTGGACTGGGATTTCTAACACATATAAAGCAATATGCAGTATGTAATAGCACTGATATTTTTTATCACATAATTAGTTTTCAAACATAAATGTTTGGTAAATATGAACCATTTTTATAAATACTAGTGCCTATGGGGAGGAAGACCAGCTTCCTTGCTGAAATGAAGAAATGTCTTCCAAAATCTGCAGTAGACTATATGAGATGAAGTTTTGTGTTTCCCCCTCCCCCTTAATTTTTTTGTAATCCTTGCCTTGTGCAATCACTCTGGGTGTTCAATACTTGCCTCTACTTTATAGAGACTGTCGGTTTTCTCGGACCCAGTAAATCCACTTGAGGTGGAAGATTGGTCATAGTCTTTCCTGATTTTCTCTTCTGTGTATGCTGGATTGTCCACTTGTGGCAAGTCATCACTAGATGCTACAGAATTTGAAGATGAGACTAACACAGTATTATCACTTGCACTATAAAACACTTCTGGCATTGCTATGGCTTCTGAGGTCTCTTCCTGAGAGTTTTTTTCGCTGTGCACTTCGTCGTTGGCTGTTGCATCAATGGAACTATTGATGTCTTTTTCTGAGAATTTTCTGGAAATGGCATCAGCCTCCTGGATGCCTTCTAGTTTGCTCTTCTGGAGTATTCTCTGCTTTTTGCGTTTTCTGGGATGTCTGGCACGAGGCACTGCTGTGGAATGCATGTCCTTGCTCTTATTTTGAGGTTTTGATGCTGCTGGTGCAGCATTGGATGCTGGTTTCTGCTTCACTGCAGCTGCAGCATCAGTAGAAGCAACCTTATTCCTACTTCCAGCAGAGGACTTCCTACCAGAACTGGGTATAGTGTTAAGTTCATCTGAATGCACTGAAGGTGTCTTACTCCGTGAACACAAATATATGGAACTCACAAGGACACTTATAAAAACAGCAGCAAATCCTGACACAGTTAATATAATCCCCACAGTTCTTTTGCCTTCCTGGCTTTGTAATTCAGGGGGGAACAATGCATTGTCAAAGTAGCCATAATTAAGTATAAGACAGACTCCAGTGGACAGCATGATGACCCCCATGAGGAACATGAAGACCCCCACCACACACAGGCAGCACTGGGTGGAGCTGGAGTGCATCCTGGGCATCTGCAACCAGAACAGAGGATACATTAAAAGAAGCAGGTAGTAATATCATGAACACAATAGTAACATTTGTCAGGAAACAAGCTCTCTGCTAAATATAAACCACCTATAGTGGTAAGTAATTGATTATATATAGACTTCAATAGATAAATAGTACCATTGTGTGTATTGATGGCCAGTATCAACCAATAAATACTTTATTCTCTTTACCTAGTAATATTCTGTGTGTTTTGATGCATAATTCAAATAATGCTAACTACATACATATATACCCTTATTTTTTAAAACTTAAAATAATGTTCATAATGTTAACCTACTCGACATTTGATTTGTGCACTGAACATTTTTTAAAGATCATATATATGTTTAGAGGAGCTTTGTGTTGCAGTATGAACTACATTTATTGATTCCGCTGAGAAATAATAATCAACCTTTATATTGACTTTGCACGGCTGCAGCATTAACCATCGCCCATGGACATATATGTACTTTAATGTGTTCGCACAAAATCAAGTATATTTCTAGAAAAACATCATCATTTATTTATGCATAGGCAGGAAAAATTCACAAGAAATAACGCTTTTTAATCAGGTAATTCAAACAGTAAAAACAAGTTTACAAATAAAGATAATTGTTTGCCAAAAGCACATCACATGCCATAAAACTGTCAAAATATTAAGAATGTTATGTATATCATGAACCAGAATAAGAATGAGATTTCACAACATGTACAGTAGGGCTGTATCAATATATCGATATATCGATACGTATCGATATTCAAGAAAAATATCGTATTGAAAAGTAACTTCCAATACGTATCGGACAGACATTTTTTCTTCAAATTCTGTTTAAATGATGGGAATTTCAATCACCAAAGATTATATTTTACTTTTTTGAATTAAAACCTTCAAAAATTATATAATTTTTTAAGGAAATAAAAAAGTTTTTATAATTATTACAAAATACATAGACAAATTTTTTTGAACATGTTGATTTTACTGTCATCAAAAGTTTGAATTGAAGTGTTATTTTTAAAGACAATGAGACAAGTACTTTAAAATGGGTAATAAAACACTTAATTATTATGAAATGTATGCATTAAAATGATTTAGAAGCCTTTTCTGATGGACTTGTTTCAGAATCCAATATATCGCATATCGCTTTAAAAAATATTGTATCGTATCGTATCGAAATTTTTGGCTCAATACACAGCCCTAATGTACAGAGAAAATGCGCACTTTAATAAACAAATTTTATCCTGATGGCTTATGCATACCGGTAAATGTGAAAAATACCCCCAAACACTATTGAATAAAGGTCGCAATAGTTGTACTTTAGTGATATTCAATAGCAAAACCTTTCCCACCAAGTTCCTTCATTCCTAATTTATATGCATAATAAATCATAATTCAAGGAGGAAAAAAATGACCCATTGTGACTTTGTTTTCTTTGGTGTAAAACATTCCTTGAAAACATTATTATGAAATGTGATGCACAATGTGTCAGATAAAATTACATCACCTCATGACAAGCCTTTTCAGAGCAGATGCGTAAAAAATATTTTAAAGGTATTTTGTTTAGTTACCATGTTTACACTTTTTTAACCAGAATACTGATTAATATTTCAAGATGAGCAGTTCTAATAATGAAATGGATTGCATAATTACATTTGTTCTCCTGAGGTTCAAAGGAAAAACCTCATGTAATATGTAATGTGTCTCAGTCTTTTTCAATTACATTTCTGATACTGACCTACATTTATTTACTTGAAAATTTGGTTCACACTTTTATAAGGAACTTACTGTTAGGTTATTTCTCAGTTTCCTCATACCATACTCCTAACTACCACATGTCATTGTTAGTTTCTCTCTTGGGCAATTTAAACTACCAAGTAGCTAAATTGCACAATATTGATCCCCTAAACTTCAAAGTGAAAATTCTCTATACAATGAGGTATTTTGCCAACTCTTACACAACTTCCACAAAATTATTTTTTTTTTCTGTAATAAATGCAGACAACAATACTCGTATTACAAAATGTCATCTGTGCAATTTTGCAAGACATGAAAAACTTGTTTTATGGTTTTTTTAACACCACCAATTCATATATAAAGTCTTAATTCTCTTCAATATTCAGGAAAAAAGTAGCATGTTGAATTCAGTGCTATATATTTTTAGTTTAAGGAATTCAATGTCATGTGTGATCATGTTCTGCTTTGATTTCCTCCACCAGTTCCACTTCCTCTTTAGTTCCATATTATAACCCATATATCATAACAGAGATTATTCGGAAATCATGTCTCTGTTTTGATTTCAGGAATAATTAAACGGGTTAAATAAGTCATACGCTGTACACACTTAATGCTTCGCTGGTTTGGGATTATTTCGGATCTGAAATCAAACAAAGCTGGACCTGTGCGTCCAAGACAGTGTACGTCAATAGCTTCACAACAGGACAGGGCACAGATTTTTTTTTTAAATCCTTCATTTAATTCTATACATTTTAATGAAGGGCAAGTCTTAACTTGAATATTTTGGATTTAGTGGGATTTAACTGGCTTTAATTGAAGCTGACAATTTATGTAATTAAGAATTTTGTTTTTATTTACAACTTTTTTTTCAGTAACAAAGTTTACATTTTAGTGGATTAACTTCTTTATCATAATTTTTTTTTTTTTTTTTTTAAAGGTTAATATAGTCTACTTCAATGTTTTAAATGCATCATAGATAATTACTGGTGAATAATAACTACTAGTGAATACAAAATATAGTGGACCGAAAACTTTTGTATTAAATAATTTTTGCCTTGGACTTCACTGATGTTATAAAACATAATAATTATATAATTCTTAAATTTTTTCAGTCTTCAATTTTCCATCATTCCAACATGTCCCAATGTTCTGCCTTTTTCTTTTATCATTAATTCATATTCTTGATAATTAATTTTAAAATAATCCCATTGTTTGTCTCATTATTTTCTTTTTAATTCAGCTGTAATATGAAAAGGACACATGGAAATTATAACAACTAACAATGCTTATTTTAAACATATATACTCAAGAAATTCCAATAAGCTGATATACAATCTTGTATATGACTATAAGAGTAATTGAGAAAAATTCTATGATCATGATAATACTCACGATGATGATTGCTAAAGGTTGAGGGAAAAAACTTTCTCTCCCTTATTTATCAAAAAGGGTGTCAAAAAAGAAAGCTAAATAATATTATATAATTATAAATCCTTTAAAAATATATATAACAATTCTTACTAGTATGTACATGTCTCTGAAGGAAACACTGTCTGAATATTTAAATAAATATATTATGTTATTTTTGACAAAAATAGTTATTGGTGGAAGCTAACTGTTTAGGCGATTGAGCCATCTGCCTATAACAAATGAAATGGGATTTACATTAGCCTTGGTTTAATTTCATAAAACCTTATATTATTAATGCTTTTTAAAAATTATTTACCGATAATGCGATAAATAAAAAAAATAAAATATTTTATATTGTTTGCTTATCAATTTTTGCATAGTTATTGGTGACTCACGGAAGCCATATCTGTTTACATGTATACAAACAATGGGGCAGTGTCCCTTTGACAGTATTAGACTAAAAAAACACCTATATAATTATTTTAATTGATATTTTATTAATTGTTAATCATTGTTAATCATGTAAAGGCCTATAACCTATAAAAATGGAATTTTTCATTTTTTATTTTTAATAAATATAAATGGTTTGCGTTTATTACAAACTTATATTTTTATTAACATATATCGCAGCTTGTAAAATTATTAATGATTTTAGGGTTTTAAAAAAAAATCAACACTTAATCACTAGCACCTATATTATTTTTTTTTATTACACACTTAGAAAAAACAGGTTTTTTGCATATGCTGGCATGCTAAGTTTATTGCTATTCAAATGTATATTTATGCAGATTTACAACATTTTAAACCAGAATAAAATTTTCATTTTTGCATTGAAATAAATTTACATGTATGTAAGAAGTCCATGCATGATTATTTACATTATTTTCTTCTCAGTATTTTATTACTAAGATATTTTATCCCTTTTCCAATCACATCCTGCAGTCTCGTATATCCTGTTTTGGTAATATATTATTCTCTATATATATACATATTAATCAATTATTCCTGTTTTTGGCATAACAGCAAGCCCAAGTTTGTTATGCATCATGATATAAACTTTGTGGGGATCAAATCTCCTTAATAAATGCAAGGGTTGTGTTTACACAACACACTTATAGGGTATGCAATTTTTTTTTTTTTGAAAAAATTTTTTTTGCTTCTTTAATCAAAACGTGTATAGAAGCAACATTAATGACAAAAGAAATTGTGTTTTCAAGCATTTCTGTGACTTAACTTATAATAGAAAGGTGACCCAAACTTCTTTCTGTCTTGAAAAGCTTGCAAAGTTGGAGGCTATAATTCCCTAAATCTTGCACATCACGGGACACAAGCATTAAAACAATATTTAGGGTCGGCACTATAAATTAGGGTCGGTCGGGAAAGCGGAAACAAACATATTTTTTTTCTAGGCCTTATGCAGATTTACAACATTTCAAACCAAAATAAAATTTTCATTTTCGCGCAGTATATTTACAACACATTTAGGATATTATATCCTAAGCAGCCTCTTATACATGTATCCTGTTTTGGTAATTTAGTCCTAACCTGTCATAACAGCAATGACATCATGATATAGGTCCTGAATTGTGTTTACACAACACACATGCATTATGACTGTGTATTAAAACTCCCTAACCTGCAGTGAAATTCTTCAAAATCCCACTTGTCAACATCTCATTTTCAACTAAGGACTCGAATATATTCGTAAAAAAGTCAATGTCATGTGTCATTTTCCATCTTTCTCCCTAAACTTATTGATAAAGTAATTGAATTGATTAACAGAGATGAAATTGTTCTTCAATTAACAAACGAATTCAGGTGCATTTCAACGAATGACAAATC